CTGTGACCTTGAGAAAATGGCTTTGCCACTTAGGACCTCGGTTTTCCTAGGCATAAAATGAGAATAACAGTTCCCATCTCATTATGTTGTCCAGAAAACCAGATAAGGTAACGCATGCCAAGGACAGTGCTTGGCATCTACTAAGCTCTTGTAAGCACTAGCTGTTATTTTAATATGCTTCTCAGCACTGATCATAGTGCTGGCACTGAACACCAAGAAAGACTCAATAAATTTTCTGCATCAGCAGATGTTTATTCATTGTCTGTCCTGCTTTCCGCCCTGAGCTAGATGTCCCAGAAGTAAACCTGCTTAAGGCACAATCTCTATCTTGTGAATTATGTCTTAATTCTTACTTGTGTCTCCAGCATTCAGCCCAATTCATGGCACACAGGTGACACCCAAAAAGTGCTGGTGGAAGTGAACTTAAAATCTAGTTGTCTAAATGTGTTTACATGAGTTTGAAGTGGAGAAAAAATATATATAACCATAAAAAGAAAATATGTTTAAGTATGTAACAGTAACTTTTTTTAATTCTTGAAAACTAAAACATGTTTTTATATTTGACCTGTGTTTACCAACTTAAAGAAAGCTAACTTAGTTTTCACACGTATCTGTGGGAACATTAAAACTTCCATTTTGCAGACAATTAGAATAGGGAGGGCCAAAGTGACTTGTGCTGAATCACAAAGGTGAGGAGAGCAAGTCCAGTGGGCCATAAGTTCAGAACCACTCCTGTTTCAGGGACACATCTGTCAACTTGACTGCCAAAAGGAAATCCTGGTTCTTCTGCCCACAGATTTCCACTCCAGGAGGAAGGAGGGTCTGAATGGTGTGTGAAAAGTCGGCGTTTATGACACAAAGGCTCCCAAATTCCAAGTTACCTCCCTTTAAGAGTGATGAAGGAAGAAGAAAAAAGCAATTGAGCCCATCCTCAGAGGCGCAGAATACATATGACCTCAGCTTGGGAATCCCTAGCTAAAGTCAGCTTTTAATTTACAAACATAAAAATATAAAGTTTGTAAGTACCTTGTTTTGATTTTTCTGAAAAAAAAAAAAAAATACATATCAGATCCCATCATTACCACTACTAAAAAGACTCAGGGATAAGTCCTAAAGTGAAAATAAAGTCACCTAAAACACTCTCATGGTGACTTCACAGACACCATTTATGCAGGCTCAGCTGTGAAGGTTTATCAGAAGTCAGGCCAATACCGGAAAACATGACCACTTGGATAAAAGAAAAAAGACACTTAAGCATAAATGGCTCCTAAAATAAAAAAGCTAATTAAATGTGGCCTCTTCAAAAAGAAAAAGTAAAGTCAGAAAAGGCAAAAGCTAGCAGGAAAAATATATTCTTACTTCTGAGCATAATAAAAGAGAATAAAAAGAGACCACTTTAAGAAGTTGAAGTCGCCTGATTATTTCCAGATAATATTCATCAGAAACCAACTGTGAACCTCCCTGTGCATACATATGACTTCCTTTCCACTCATTCCCACACGAATAGACTGAACACTGTCCAAGGTACTACAGTTTGGGAGGAGGGAATAAGGATTAAGATGAATAAAACCAAACCACCTCTCTGCCATCAAGGAAAATAGAATCAACTGTGAAATCATGCCAGAAATTTGGGGGAGTATATATCCCCCTACAACCCCTTTCCCTGAGAAGTGGCCCCCAACCCTGGTCCATGTGGTCATGGCACAGGATGAGCCATAACTAGACAACCTGACTTCTACCTTCCTGGTGGTGCCTGACCTATGGGAGGCCAACAAGAGTCCCTCCCAAAGAATTAATAAAGAAAATAAATAAGCCATTTTATTATTAGTGAGAATTCTATTAATATATAATTTGTACACTTGACAGTGGAGACTCATGTCCCATTATATAGCCTGGGGAGCAGAGAAAATCAGACTACACAGAAAGAGTATAATAAAACAGACACATAGTCTTACAGACAAGAGCTGAAGAAGGAATACTACTTGGGTTCCTAGCAGAGTTCAGCTCCCAGTGGAGACCTTTCTGAAGCCTGCCAGCCTCACCACCCTTGTAGCCTTAAAATGAGCTAGCCTGAAGTGGTTTCTGTTACTCGCAACCAAATAGTCCTAATAAATCCAAAGGGAGTAAGACCACAGCACAAATTCATCTAATGAACAAATGTATTACTGATGCTAGGCAGGCAAGGATTTCACTTCATTCATCTGAGTGCTGCACAATAAAGTGGCAAGAAGAAACTCTTAATGAAAAAAAGATGGGGATTTGAGTTCAGACTCCACCCTTTGCTAGTTCTGTGACTTTGAAGAAACACATTTAGCCTTGGGAGGTCGAAGCAGGTGGATCACCTGAGGTCAGGAATTCGAGACCAGCCTGACCAACATGGAAAAACCCTGTCTCTACTAAAAACACAAAATTAGCCAGGCATGGTGGTGAAAGCCTGTAATCCCAGCTACTAGGGAGGCTGAAGCAGGAGAATTGCTTGAACCCGGGAGGCGGAGGTTGCAGTAAGCCAAGATCGTGTCATTGCACTCCAGCCTGGGCAACTAGAACGAAATTCCATCTCAAAAAAAAAAAAAAAAAAAAAAGAAGAAGAAAAGAAACACATTTAGTCTACACTTAGCACAGTGCCTAGTGCCAAGCAGGTGCTCAATATATATTTGGAAAAAAAGGCAGGAAGGAGGGAAAGCAGTTACACATATCAGATATACTTATCTTTTAAGTCAAGTCATTTCACATTAATAAAATAGGAATGTTCATTCTCATTAATAAAATGGGAATAAAAATTTCACTTTATGCATCTTACAGGATCAGAATGTATATAACTTGTGCAATTAAAACCTCATTATTAGAGGCCAAGCACGGTGGCTCACACCTCTAATTCTAGCACTTTGGAAGGCCAAGGAGGGCAGATCACCTGACATGAGGAGTTCAAGATTAGCCTGGCCAACATGGTGAAACCCTGTCTCTACTGAAAATACAAAAATTAGCCAGGCGTAGTGGTGCATGCCTGTAAATCCCAACTACCTGGGAGACTGAGACAGGAGAATCACTGGAACCCAGGAGGCAGAAGTTGTAGTAAGCTGAGATTGTGCCACTGCACCCCAGTCTGGGTGACAGAGTGAGACTCTTTCTCAAAAAAAAATAATAATAATAATAAATAAAACCTCATTATTAGATTCATCAGATTAATCAATGAGTCAAATACAGACCCACTTCCATTAATGAAATAATTTTACCTGAAGTAGGGGTTAGCAAACTATACCCTAAAAACCAAATCCAGCCCACCACCTGTTTTTATATGGCCTACAAGAATGGTTTTTATAAATGAACATTTGCAATCAATTTGATGATAGGGAACACTAACTTTGAACCCTACTTCAGCTAAATGTTATACCTTCCCCCCAAAAAATCCCATACTTCTAGTTAACATACCTATATTGCAAAAAATTATATTCAATTTATTATTACTATTATCATACAGAGTTTAAAGGATGCACAAGAAGCCAACTCAGTAAGAAACATGGCAAGAAAATTACGTTTTTCATCAGTTCCACTATTTTTAGAGGGCAATGCTGCAGAATATGGGAGTTTTTACAAATGCATAAATTGCAATATAACAGAAAAATCTGCAATAATATCTGAGTGAGTGAAGGTGACATCAGATCTTCAGGAAGTTCAACTACTCCCTTCAAGTCCAGGTTTAAAGAGGCTGGACCAGTGTGAATATGTGCTAGGAACCACCTCAACTGGAGCAAAAACATGTCATCAGTCTCGGCAGTATGTCTATGGTATACAAAACAGTACTGAATATTCATTCACTGCCCTCAGCCTCCCAGATGAATGTCTCCTAGTACAGGTTCATCCTTAAACCTAGACTTACAAAAACGAAAACAAGGGTCTATTACCCAGAAGTCTCTGAGAGTCATAACCAGGTGTCCCCAAACTATGGCCCACTGGCCGCATGCAGCCCCCTGAGGCCATTTATCCAGCCCCCCGCCGCACTTCAGGAAGGGGCACCTCTTTCATTGGTGGTCAGTGAGAGGAGCACAGTATGTGGCGGCCCTCCAATGGTCTGAGGGACAGTGAACTGGCCTCCTGTGTAAAATGTTTGGGGACGCCTGTCATAACAATAGCTCTTTAGACCAGTGGTTAACTCTATCCCACAAAACAAAATGAGGTAACTTATACCAAAGCCCTGAGTAAAATCTGGAAATAAGTGAGTATAATTATCATCACAATTAATAACAATAATAAAACACTTTGGAGCAACTGCTCTATACTCAGCACTGCAATAAGCACATAAAGATGCATAAGAAATGGGTTTTGCCATAAAGATGTTTTTAAAATAATGCTATTAAGGCAAGAAAATAGAAGATATAAATGTCATAATGAATACCATAGAAGACAGATTAAAATGGAACAAGTCTACTTAAAATAGGGTGCACAGGACCTTAGAACACCAATGTGACTTCTGAATCACTTTGATGGAAGCCTAAGCTCCCTTGAGAATAGAGTTTGAAAACTACAAGAATGGACAATTGGGGTCTCTGTATTTTCCTCATTTATAATATTAGGACAACAGTAATAGCTCCTTCAAAGGTTTGTGAGGATTAAATGAAATAATAAATACAAATTCTTTTAGCAGTCAGTAGTACATAGTAAGTGCCCAATAAATATTAACTATCATTATATTTTTTATTAAATAGTTGTCACCATACTATACATTATTATTCATTCTGATTATTTCTTTTAATTAGATTGTAAGTATGCTCCAAATTTTCACATACTTTTCATTAGCATATTTTCAGTTTAATGAGCCATAAATTGCACTTTAGTTTTACTTTGATTTGGATTTATGTAATAATTTTGAGGGTAATTATTTTTGCATATATTTATTAACTGTTTTCCTCATCATGTCTGTTCATGAGTCTTATGCAATAACCCTATTGGAACTCTTACTGTTTTTTAAAATTAATATTGGTTCAAAGCAGAAATAAGGTTACCTTCTCGGCTCCCTGTCTTAAGAATGTGCTGGCAAAAGTTTCTAGAATGCAGTTGAGAAATCCAGCTCCTGTGATTGAAATTCTGCCTCTTTGAATGAACTCTGTCCTGCAAAGAAAAAAACACCAAAAATTAAAAAAACACATCTTTGATGTCATTATATGGCTGGATACGTAAACTACAGGCATTTTTACCTGCATAATTACCACTTATAATCAATACAAAATAATATCCATAATTATTCAATAACTGCCTGTTATAAGAAGTTTTGTTAAAAGTAATTTATAGTTTATATAATATTCACAACAGTCGTATTCAAATTAAAGAATATTCATTTCATGATGCAAAATCTCTTTTTAAAATTGAGTCTGAGGTAATTATCAATGATATGACCTTAGGTAAATTATTTAGACTCTCTCTAACTTGGTTTCCTCACATGTAAAATGGGAACAACCATAGTATCTTTCTTTTACAACTACTGTTGCAAGTAAATGAGTTATCACACATCACAGGAATATGAAGAGTTCCCGACATGTATTTATTAAATGTTAGCTACTATTACTAAAGAAAGTCAGATAGAGACAGGACTGGAAAACCAGTAACCTAGAATGACTTTTGCATTCCTCAGTTGGAGAAGGGGGTGAGACAGAAGAGATATGTCACCATCTCTACCAATTTTAATTACCAAAATTATATCAGTATTAATTATCTTCATTTTGTAAAACAAGAGAGCTACATTACACTTAAAAGTAATATAAGATAAGTAAGAAATGGAAAGTCCCAAGCCCTCATTATCCCCAGAGACAATGACGTAATAACAATATATAAACCAAATTGCCTTTGTAAGAACTCCCTCAAGAAGTAGCTCCACCCCAGGTAAGTGCAATGCCAAGAAGAGCCACATCAAAGCAGATAAGAAAGTTTGTTGCTTTTACCCATGATGCTGCCTCCCACCCAGCATCATGTAACACAATCAAGAAAAAACTCCCAACTTCTGGCTTCTTCCTCAGGAGGGACAGAAAAGTGCTAACTGTGCATCCAACACTCTGTCTTTAAGATAGGCATGACTCAGAGTGCTAAAGGAAATGGCAATATACTCTCAAAAGCAAGCATGGCGGCTTGTTAAACTAAAGAGCCTGCAAGTACCTCAGACAGTCACGAAGGGTTACAAAAGATCATGGGCTCTTGAAAACAGAGGCAGTCCTCTGTAACTGGGAAATAACACACAAGCCCAGAGAAGATGCGTCCCCCAAAAAAGGTTTGAGAGACCCCCAGAATCTCAAGCTAGGCTGTTCAGTGAAGGTCTTCCCTGTATGAAGCCAGTCCATAAGACTATGAGAAGTGGTTGTTTTTTATGTACCCAAACCTCAACAAAAGATCACAATGTATGCAAAGGAACAAATCAAAGAAACAAATCTCTAGAAACCAATTCTAAAGAAACAGAGATTTAAGAATTGCCTCATAAAGAAGTTGAAATAACCATATTAAAATACTCCATGAACTAAAACAGACAACTAAAGGAACCAAGAAAAATAAAATGCTGGAACAAAATGAGACTATCAACAAAGAGAAACTATAAAAATGAGAACCAAGCAGAAATTCCAGAGTTGAAAAATACGATAATGGAACTAAAAAACAATTCACTAGAGGGGTTCATTCAACAGCAGACTCGTACAAGCAAAAGAAAGAATCGGCAAAATTAAAGACAGGTTATTTGAAATTATTGAGTCAGGGACCAAAAAAAAAAAAAAGAATAAAGAAAAGTCAAGAGAGCCTAAGGGACTTACAAGACATCATCAAACAGATCATTATCCACATTATGGGAATCTCAAATCGAGAAGAGAGTGAGAAAGAAGTAGAGTGTCTATTTGAAGAAATAATGGCTGAAATTCCCCAAATTTGAGGGAGGAAAATTGGCATACAAATTGAAAAGCCTCAATGGACTTCAACTAGGATAAATTCAAAAAGACTCACACCAAGACACATAATCACACTGTCAAAAGTCACAGAAAAAAAGGGAGACTCTTGAAAGCAGTAAGAGAAAAGCAACTCATCACATTAAGCTCCTATAAGATTTTCAGTAGATTCCTTGGCAGAAACTTTGCAGGCCAGAAGTAAATGCAATGACATATTCAAAATACTGAAATTTAAAAAAAAAAAAAAAAAAAAAAAAACTTACAACATTAAAATACTATATCCAGCAAAACTATCCTTCAAAAATGAAAGAGAAATTAAGACTTTCCTAAATAAACAAAAGCTAAGGGAGTTTATCACCACTAGAGATTTGGATTACACTTAACTTTGCCTCATTCATTCATTTGTTCAACACACTGACTGCATGGCTACTATATGCTAAGCACCATACTGACTGCTAGAGGTCCACAGAGAAGGAGATGATCTCTCTCCTCCAGGATCTCATTGGCTAGTGGAAAAGACAAACAGATAAGTGGGAGAGTATCAGCAACTGGAGGTGAAGCATTCCATTAGAGGAAAACCACAAGGACCCAGGTAAGGAGGCGTGAAGGAAGAGAGGATGTCTGAGGAGCCATAAGTTATCTAAAAATGCCCAGTACATGGCATGGGGTTTGAAAAATTCTTCCTATAGAAATGGCGGGAGCATAAGATGGATGTGGGAGATGTTAGGATATGAGGCTGAAAGGATAAGTGAAGACAAGATTGCAAATGGTCTCAGGCGGAGGAGTTTAGGCTTTACCCTGAAGGTAAAGGAGGCTTCTCTTCGGAGAACACCAAGTACCAGGTATAGATTAATAGTCACATCTGCACCACTGACTAAAATGCTCATTGCCATTCCTTGATGCTTTTAGACAATCTCCAGTCCCCATTTTCAGCACAGTGCTTACACTGAATGAGTTCAATAAGCATTTGTTAGATGAATTAACTCAATTTCTTTGTAATCAAAAATATTCAACAAGGAAAACATTTTCCCAACCTTACATCTCTGTGGAAAGAAGATGGGAGCCAAGTCTCCTGTATATATAGTTGGCATATGTTTTATATGCATGATACGTGAGAACACGCACTGAAACAAACAAAAATCTGAGAAAACACTGGATCCAACAAACTGTCATTTCGGTCAAAATGGTTATTAAAACCTCTTAATCAGACCTCGCTAATAGCAGCAGCCTCTACATTTAGATCATGCATACAATAAACGCCTTCAGAGCTCCCCTCTCTCCCTCTCTTTCTTCCCCCTCATACACACACACACACACACACACACACACACACACACGAGTTATCCCATCCAATCTGACATAAATTCCTTCAGTCTAAGCAGTTTTCACCTCTTAGATTTAAGCCTATTTAAAATGATTTGCTCATGTAAAACTGTATCTTGGTGACAGTAATCTTTCCCGTCTTTATTATGGATTAATCAGAATAGAATTTTACAGTGATTTTAATATTGAGAAATGAAAAGTTGAGCAGTCTCACACTCTTGGGAGAGATGAACTCTCCAGACCTCAGTTCTGAAGGCAAATGTAGGTGAGGGATTAATAAAAGTCTCTTACATCATATTCTAAGCAATATTTCTTTCTGCCAGTTTTGGGAAAAGTCCTCAGAAAAGCACGCTCAGGTTTTGTCCACATATCAGAGAATAACAGGGCAGTAAAGCAGGGTCATGCCCTTGCCATCAACGAGATGAGAGTTTACCCTATTATATTTTAAGACTGCCAGAGAAGAAAATATTGCACTTTCCCTCAATAACTCATTGATAAAGCACAGCAGACACTTTCTTCTTACTACAAATAGCTACAAATAGCTAACCTAAATCCCTCACACTAGAATTCATCTCCATTTAGGTTCTGTGCAAAACACAGCAGTTTACACAGCAACATATGGTTTAATTTCAGCTCCATTAAAAAAAAGAAAGGATGGATGGATAGATGGATGAACAGATGAGTAAGTGAATAGAGCTAAAATGTTAACATTAGGGCATTAGAATTATATGTTATTTACTTGCTTTGTTCTTTTTAGCGGTTTCAAAATTTTCTATTAAAAAATATGTATTCCTTTGGCAATCACCAAAAAAGTCTATTGAATAATAAGTCTCTGAGTATCACTTTTATATAAACAGATAAAGCATTTTATAAATGGCTCTGTGCCTTTTAAACCATTTTCAGCAATGGTATGTGCTAACTTCTGGCTTGCCCTTCATTTAAAGTCTCATTAAATCAACTCTTGGCTTTTCTTTCCCCACATTATGTAATCTCATTTCTTTGCAGCTTATGTCCTAAGACTTTCTCCCGACCCTGTAGTTGAAGTACATAGTGTCTCATCATCCTCAAGACATATAACGATGATTCCAGTTTTCCTTCACCTGTCTTTCATCTCTGAATGAGTTCAATAAGCATTTGTTAGAAGCCTACAGAGAAGACTCTCCTTCACATTCATGATATTACAAATTCAGGGTCATACTTACTCCTTAAAAACCAGTATCATAACAGTGTATATTCTAGATCAGATACTGTATTATCTTCTGAGATTGCTATGCTTTGAAAATTATTTTCTCTTTTATATGTGAAGAAACTGTGGCAAAGAGATGTTCAATAACTTGCTGAGGGTCGTATAGCTTAATGCCATGAGAATTCATTATCTATCACCTCAAAATCCTAGTCCTCCTCTGCTCTCAGTCCATGACACAACTGTCCTTCTAGTCCATGAGATTAGAAATCTTAGCAACAAGTTAGATGGTCCCCTCTCTATCAATCCAAACATCCAATAAGTCACCTGATTGTGCTTATTTCACTTCTAATGTCCCTCAACAATCCATGTCACTCTCCTCCTTGCTACAGCTACTGCCTGGACTTGGCATAGAAGTTTCTCTCTCCAGGACCATTGCAAAGTGCCTCCCAATGGGGTCTGTATCTCCAGTATGGATTCCCTGTACTCCACACTGACAAAAGTCAACTTCTGAAGCACACGCTAATCATGTCACTGCCTGTCTATTAAGACAGGGTGAATAATGCCCACATGCTCAGTCTTGTAAGATTTATCCGCAATGTTGCATGCAGTTATTCATTTTCATTGCTACATAATGTCCTACTGATTGAAAACATTCCAATTTATCCACTCTACACTAGATATTT